CGCAGCATTAGTCATTCGTTGTGTTCGCCTGTCTGCTAAGCTCAAAACAACCGCGCCTGGCTTGACGGAGAAACCAGCTGTGCATATTTACGACAGTGCACTTTTACTTTCGCCCTCTGGGGGGAGCCTCGCTGGAAAATCAACACCGGTTGCATAGTATACCTTTAAATGAATTTGAACCTTATTTCTTGCAAGAAATGCCTCTGCCTCAGCTTCCTAACTTCACAAAAGTTAATGAGAAATAACTCAATAACTATAATGCTGGGATAAACTGCGTCCAGACAGTGTTTTATTTGTAAAAGTATGCTCTCTTCACAAACTTTCCTTAGCCTCCATGTTTGTCTCTCCTGCATGCAGATCTCTTTGATGAAAAAGCTGCCATTTTTTTTCACATATCTCTGTGTCAAAACAGTCAGGGAGGAAAAAAATTCACCAACAGAAATAGAAACAACAAAACAGAAACAATAATGACCTTAACAGAGAAGCTCCTAAACATGCTTAACCAGCATCTGCAAGCACCATCAGTCAAGACTAAAAGCAGTTATTAGGAAAGTATAGATATGATTCCATTTCAAAGACATGAAAAACCAAAGCAGGTAAGTAGGATGCATCTACGGATGCATCTTTTTAGCTGCATGATTTCCCTTTGAGTCATCAGATGTTTGTCACTGTGCATCTTGACTTTAATAATCCATCTATGTTCTCTGTTAGACTGAACAGCTTATCTAATATCAAAATGTGGAAATTACATTATTAAAGCTGGGGATGGATTAGGCGATTTCAAGTGACCGGTGGTTGGCAGCAATGAGCTTTGATCGATGGTCATTCTTCTGTCCCAGATACAGGTTAAGGTCACAGAGGAAAGCAATAAACTAACCATACCAGTCCCAGGTATGTTATCACCAACAGCTACACTGTTGGAGGAAGTTTTCTCCTGCCAACCACTCAGACCTACTTGCTTCTGTCATTTAAGGTTGTAAATATTGGTTTTTCACCTTCCCCTGGTCTAACACCACAAAGTGTATTCTTAAATGCTCCACAGTCAGTACCAGCATCATAGCACACAGGGTCACAGGCCCTGTGGGTTGCTGCATTTAAACTGAGCTGCTTGGGTTAGGGTCATTGCACCCCAGCTGCATCTGAAAACCTTAGCTGTAGGTTGAGTTGTGCCCCCAGCTGAATCACGTCAGACAAAGAGCTTCATAGACAGTCGGTTAAAACAGCAGAGAAACAGGCTTCACAGTTGGATTTATTACTTTGGACATAATTGGCAGAATGACGCGTCTAATGTGACTGGACATAAAGATTGTTCCAGTACAGAAAGTAAAATATGAGGTGTTCAGAGCACTCTTTTAGGTTTTTATTTTCATAGCTTATAACCAAACGTTGTCAAAGAACCTCTCAGTAATGTGAAGCAATGATCAGATATTTTCTTGGTCTCATTTAAAGGTTTGGAAACATTCCCATTGAAAGACGGACCGAATTTATGCACAGCTCTAGTCATACTGAGCCCTCCACCCTAACACTTTCAGTTGGCAACCTGGAGCTAATGTCTGGCCCAGGGGCACATCAACATGTGTAGGAGAAAGCTGGGATTGACCTAACACCAATTACAACAGGTCAACTCTGCCCACTAGGGCTGAGTATTAGCATGGGTGTTGCGATATAATACGTGTCACGATTCTTGGGTGACAATATTATGTTATCATGATTTTGCAATGTCACTACACAGCAAATGTTGCAATGTTAAAGTACAGTAGCAGCCTTTCAAAATGGCCCTTCCCAGTCAAACACCAGGCAAATGGCAGTCCACTTCCCTCCAACTCCCAACGAAACCCCCCTCCAACTTCTGGCCACTGTAGTGACCCCCACTATTTTTTTCTACTCTAACTCCACCCTTTCACTGAATTACAGGGTCTGACCAGGAGATGGCTCTTCTCTTTAGATCTTAATGACCAAAAATCATGACAGAAAGAATATTTTAATACAAAGACTGATGTTTAAAAAGGATTTGTAGGGGACCAGCCAAGAAGCAGACAAGGACCAGCAAAGGGCCAGCCAAGAAGCAGACAAGGACCAACCAAGGACAAGCCAAGAAGCAGCCAAGGAACAACTAAGGACCAGCCAAGAAGCAGCCAAGGAACAGCCAGGGACTACCCAAGGACCAGCCAAGGACCAACCAAGGGCCAGCCAAGAAGCAGCCAAGGAACAGCCAGGGACCACCCAAGGACCAACCAAGGACCAGCCAAGGAACAGCCAGGGACTACCCACGGACCAGCCAAGGACAACCAAGGGCCAGCCAAGAAGCAGCCAAGGAACAGCCAGGGACCAGCCAAGGACCAGCCAAGAAGCAGCCAAGGAACAGCCAAGGACCAGCCAAGAAGCAGCCAAGGAACAGCCAGCGACTACCCACAGACCAGCCAAGGACCAGCCAAGAAGCAGCCAAGGAACAGCCAGCGACTACCCACAGACCAGCCAAGGACCAGCCAAGAAGCAGCCAAGGAACAGCCAAGGAGCAGACGAGGACCAGCAAAGGGCCAGCCAAGAAGCAGACAAGGACCAACCAAGGACAAGCCAAGAAGCAGCCAAGGACCAGCCTAGGAACAACCAAGGACCAGGCAAGNCAAGAAGCAGCCAAAGACCAGCCTAGGAACAACCAAGGACCAGCCAAGAAGCAGCCAAGGAACAGCCAAGGAGCAGCCAAGGAACAGCCAAGGAGCAGACAAGGACCAGCAAAGGGCCAGCCAAGAAGCAGACAAGGACCAACCAAGGAACAACCAAGGACCCATCAAGGAAAGTGGGGACATTTTGAATGGCTACTACTGTACCACTTTAGGAGTGCATTTGGTCCCACACTAATTCTGAGTGGGAGTAAATGCACTCTTAAAGTGTTACTTTGACACTGCAACATTTATTGTGTATTGTGATATTTTTCCCAGCTATCAAAATTAAATGTATAGATAAAAAAGCAGGTGGTGTATTTGTTCCTCTGAAGATATTGATCATTTAGTTGTTTTGGTTTCCAGTGCAGCGACACCTAATGGGTCATCAGGTTTGAAGCTGAACGTTGCTTGTTAGACGACATACTAACATCCCACTGCTGCGCTGCACTGGCTGCTGGTCTATTTGCAGACCACAGACCCTAAAACAGGTCTTCTCATTGACCACAGCTAGTTCACACATAGCAGGTCACAGTACCAGCATCCAGATACCCCTAATGTGGTTCCCACATTAGGGGGATCTGGAGTCAACAAGTCGTGTCTATGTCATGTATTTTTTCCACCCAACCACTAAAGCAGGTGAGTCCATTCTGCTCAGGTTAATTCTCTTTGCTGATTGGGTTCACCTGCTTCAGTGGCTGGGCGGAATAAATACATGACATAGAGATGACTTGTTGACTCCAGATCCTCCATCTCTGGGGGTTCCTGACATGTTTCAGTTTCCGTCTGCTTATAGTCTCTGTTGTGACCCCCCACAGTGCGGCGCGTGCCTCCCCGCTTTTCCATCCCGCCGACTAACTGTGAGGTGATGCCCTCTGGAAGCGTCAACCTGACCTGTGTGGCAGTGGGTTCTCCAATGCCTCTGGTCAAGTGGAGGAGCGGAGACAGGGAGCTAACCCAGGAGGAGGAGCTCCCCCTGGGCCGTAACATCCTGCAGCTTACCAACATCCAACAGTCTGCTAACTACACCTGTGTGGCCATCTCATCTCTGGGCATGATTGAAACCACGGCTCAGGTGTTTGTCAGAGGTAAGAGGCGCCACACAGTCAAGTAATGATAGAAAGAACTAACTAGGCTGCAACCAATGATTATGCCAAACAGTCTTCGGCTTTTTACAAACTTAAACCAAGTGAAACTAAAACTTTTCCACTTTAGGAGTTTTTTTATCTTACTGCAAAATATTTATTATTTTTTTTTTTAACAATATCTTTTTTTCCAAAATATATTTATTCAAATTTTAGCAATTTAAACAAACATCTTGAACAATATACAGAATGTAATCACAGCAATATTTACGTTACTGTTCAAGTCAAAATAAAATACAGGCAACAAATTGCCACACTAAACATTTACTCCAATGCGACTGATCACATTTTATACTTAGCCTCTTATAATGAAAATTAAAGTTGACAGTATTTGTCCTCCAATAAATTGTCTTTGGAAACTTCGGTTCACTTGTTCTTCAATCACTTGCACTTTTTTTTTTTTTAGATAATCAGTCTTAACATAATTAATGAAGAAGTTCCAAATAGATTCAAACAGGTCCTGTTTGTCCTTTAATATATATACATTATTTTTTCCAGAGAGAGGACAGATAACCAGAGATGGTAAAAGTACTCACTTTCCGTACTTGAGTAAAAGTACAGATACTTGTGTTAAAAAATACTCTGGTAAAAGTGGAAGTACTGATTAAACTTCTTTACTCAAGTAAAAGTAACAAAGTAAATTTCCTTAAAGTATAAAAGTAAA